GGAGCCCCTAGTAGCGATGCCCTTGCTCCTAGTAGCTTCTTGTTCCTGGGCCTTTGGAGTCAAATGGTGCACATTCCCAAACCGGATCCACTGGTCCACCTTCTCGTTGGTTTTTCTTCTACGACGTCGAGGTCGTCTCGGCGCAGGAAGACTGGCGCCTCGTATTGTCTCTAGATCTTCACCGCACCTGAGCTTCGGTACTTTCCTGGATCTCTATACCAGCACCTCCAACAGGTCACCAATTGAAACCTGTTAGGGCCTAACAACCCTCCAAAGGAGACCTGTTGGCAGGTGCTGGTATCCCCAGCTGATGTCGACCGCTTCGCCACCCCGCGCCACCACCGCGCTTGTTCGGTGATAGACGTCGTGTACGTACGGTCGTTCGCCTGGGTCTCCCCGGCTGCTGGGCCACTCCCGGAAGCTGCGCGGTGGAGCGGGGGATGCCAGCTGAACCTGGAGGTCGATCGACGGAGGGTCGCGAGGTCGGGACGGAGGGGTCTCAGAACTGGGATGCCAGCTGGGCGAGGTCGCAAGATGCACCCGAAAACATGGTACAGCCAGCATCTTCACCAGCAAAGTGTTTAGAGTTTAGACCATGTTTGACCGGAAAATGGGAACATGACCCTAAGCAAAACCAGGAGAAAAAAAGACAGGAACAAGCAGCAGCACCCAGTTCGGGTGGTCATAATCAAGGAAATATACCTATATATAGTCAAAAGGAAAGTAGTTTTCCAGGAGTCACAAGGGGGTGCCATCCATGGAGGATAGGGGTGCCCCTGTCACATCCACTCACTGGATGGGACTCAAAAGCATACTGCTTGTGACTCGTGGTTCTTGATCTTTCTTGCGATCTTAGAAAGCAAGTGCTTGGGACGAGCTGCTTGGACCTCATGAAACCGTCCATGTCGACGAGCTAGCAGCTAGGACCTGGGGTTCCAGGTCAGCTTCGCTCGAGGTCCCGGCGACCCCCCCAGCTTCTGACTCCCTCAGTTTCCCATTGGGAAACAAATCGGTGAACCTATCCCAGACACAACCAGTCTGGGACTGCCAGTCCGGACTGCCGAGAAACGGCCAGGGGTGGTGGTCTTGGGGGTCAATGGGGCGGCATAGATGGCAGTCCCATGGAGTGTCTGGGTATGTCTCCGTGTGCTCCTATTTAGTGGGGAAAGGTTTCAGGTTTTCAAGCTGATCCACTGAGGCAAGGGGGGTATTGCTGTTCAAAAGACATGGTCGCCCTTCTTTGACATTTAGCAGTTTAGCCACAAAACATGACTAAAAACCAGAACTGCTTGTAACGACTCTGTCTTTCAGCAGGCCTTTTGGGGTGATGTTCCCCTGTTCCCCTTGTTGGGACCATACAAAGAAAGGGCCGCCTTCTTCATCGTCACTGCCGAACGAAGAGCATCCATTGCTTCGTCTTGGGTACCACAAATAGATCCCTGCAATGACGTTGCACCACAACATCAGGGCCGGGTTCCAGTTAGGCCTCTACATATAGATTTGAATCGATGTACCTCCTGTCGGGGTGTCTCAACAAGACGAGGCCGGAAACATGGTGATTCGGGGTGTGCCAAAGCCACCAGGCGAAAGAAAGGTCCTGGTATAGGAGGATGAAATCGTAATTCGGATACTGCATAGTATATCTTCTGAACGTGAGGGAATCTTGTTTGAACGTCTTCAGGGATTCAGATTGCATGTTTTAACGTGTAAAAACATGTTCCCTTATCTTCAGAGCCCAACAAAAACGACGAAGAGAAGTCCGCGGTGATCTATGGGCACAAAAGGGGGTCACACCTCAGCTGGAAAGTGTCAGCTTGTGTAGCTGGTTGCTGAGTTTCCTCACCATACGCGTCTTTCCACGTAGCATCCCAAACCTCCTTGACTCTCTGAATAAAGGCCTAAGGAAGAGGCAACATCTTGTGAACTTGCTTGCCAAAGACCCGAGGACGGGGGGTCCGTCAGGTTGTAGCATCAGAAAAAGCAGCTACTTCCATGAGCCCAGGCTACCAGAAGTCTTCGATCCACTTCTGAGAACAGCTCAGGGCAGGTGCCAGGGCAGGTGCCAGGGATGCAGGTGCCACACTTTTCGACACCCCAAGTCCTATAGTTCTAGCATTTGAGCAGGAATGCGGTGCAAGTCGTGCTGGAGTCAACAGGTTCTTTCCTTCTCTTTCCTCTTGAAGTTGTCTCAAATGAATCCACTTCTCAGAAGCGTACCATGCACCCAGGCTGCCTCTTGGACTCTATCTTCCACTTGTCCCCTAAAATGGTGTGTTCTTGACGTTCGACAACTTCACAGCTCAAGACATCTCAAGACCAATCACCCAAAATAATATGTTTCTTGACTTCTCAACTGGAGAACACAGCTAGGCTTCTTTCAAGCTCCAGCATCTCTTTCAGGACCTGAGCCGTCAGTGACCTCTTTGGAGTCTCCAAAAAGAGAGTGACCCTTTACAGGCCTGGGCCAGTATCCTTCGAGGCGAGACGCATCTGGAGTCTCCTGCTCGGATGGGTACAAAGGAGCTGACACTGCGCTGACCTTGGACGGGCGGAGCCATGGCACTGGGGGAGAAACACCGCGTTGTCCGGCCAAAATGAACCGAATAGACGCCACCAGACATGATCCCGGGGTTTTCAGAGGAAGTGGACTCATCATGACTCATCACAGTACTATCCCTAATGGGCTCCTGGCGTAAGTTCCTGTATTTGGCGCTTGTGTGGCGCCCACCCCAGTCCCACCGAAACGAAACGAAGGTACGACGGTAACGGCCTGGGGTATGTTATCTCTATTCAGGAACTGAACTCTGCTTCTAAAGAGCCAAAGTGCTGTGGGACTAGTAATAAGTGCTTGCACCATCTCGCACCATGTTCCACCCAAGGTTTTGGTTCCGAATGAAAAGTTAGTATCTCAAACTCAACCCATAGGACTGGACTGGAATATTTGCCTCCATTTGGGTCAATGTACTACTAGTAGCAAGAAACTACAAGGAACAAAGGAGCAAGGACGCTACTAGTAGCTCCTGGCATCGCCCTGTAGTTAGAAGATTCCAGTTTTGATGGATTCCTGGGGCTATGGCTATGACCTGAAAGTCACTTCCAAAGCGAGGCCGTCTGAGGCACCCAACACAGTTCACACCACAGCCCAAGACGCAGGCCTTCTCAGCCAGAATGAACTCCTTGTTTGTGGTGATGACCTGACCGCGATGGATCATGGTCTCGCTTTTTGCGGAAGGATGCAGGACACTCTGAGAATCTTGGGAGACAATCCTTCTGAGATCTCGGGACGTCGTTCTTTGAAACGCTCGATGTTCTCATCACATGTTGATCTTTAGAAGAGACGCACAGGATTTACAAAACCCTTCCCATCGTATCAGCAACTTCCACTACTTGGATCTTGTACTGAACACCCCTGTCAAGTTCAACGTGCCAGAAATGGTCCGCTGGTCCGCCCATGTTCAGCCCTCGACGAGAACTGCGACGAAAACGACCAAATGAACGACATAACGACGCATTCCGAGGCCCCCGGCAATTTGCAAAGGCCATCCCAACTTGTGAGCCTTACAAAGGCCATTGCTTTCCCAGACACCCTCCCAAAGTTTGCTCCACCCTAGTGCGGATGGCCTTAAGATGTATCCCTGAAATGCTACATAATTATATGAAGGTTCGGTACGATTGGACCCCCCATCCTCCCATGCCTATCTAAAAATGATTGTTTCCTCACCGTACTTTGTAGAAGGTATGTGGATCCACAGGGGGAACCAGAAGCCACGCCACAACAGGATGCGCTGGGTGCACGACTGGAACATCGGTAAAAAATAAAGGCTTGACCCCATGACATAGAACGTGATCCAAGCCCATTCCAGTGAATTCTTCCTTCAAAAACATTTGCTTTACTTCGAGTGATCCCCACCAGGACATTTCAATCTGACAAATTTTCTGGCATGTATTGAAACAGTATTTGGCATTCTTTCTGGCATATCTTCTGACATGTTATCTGGCATTTCTGCAGCATGGCATATCTTCTGACTCGCGGTTGAAGTCCGGCAGGGAAGACTTGGCTGGCTACAGCCACCCTGCAAAAAGTTTCCAGCCCGCGCCTTTTTGTCCTCCTGCCAAGGAACGTCAACTTGCTCGAGGCAGACAGATCATTGGCACCAAATTCGAACGTCAATCGGGGATTCGCCGGCTTTTCCGGCACGGTCCCTTTGTGGACATGAAGCACCTTCGGCTGCTTTGTCTTAGCGTTCCAATCCTCTGACTCTTCAAAGAGGATAGAAGCATGGCTTGGGTACTTCGCAAAAAAGCATTCGTTGAGGAAGAGGTGCAAATGCTTTTAAAAAGCAGCCTCAAACGACACAACCTTGCCCTTCAGCATTTTGCCTCGGGCCCATTCTCTGTCAGCCAGTCGAAACCCATACAGCCTAGCCAGGCTCAAGCGCATCAGGCGCCTTTGAACTGGAAGCCTCAAGAGGAATGCTTTCCTGATCACAGGCGGTGGCCAACTCATGGAACTTGTCCTTCATTGTTTTTCATGGCCTGGATCTTTGGGCTCTTAGCTCTATGCGCGCCAGCCCTCAGTAAACGCTTGAGTCTGGAGAGCACATCTTCATGCAGTCCAGGAGGTGTTTTATGGTGAGTCTTGAAAAAAGGGATCGATGATGCCACCACCTCCTCACTGACCCTGCGGTCCAACGACGGTTGCGCCAGGACTGCGGCAACAGTCGCCTAAGCAAAAAACACACCGTAAACCAAAAAAGGGTGGGACAACAAAGAAACATTCCCAGGTCCATTCTTTTGAGACATGGGAGACAAGAAGTGGAAGACAAGGCGGACACGATGACCAACAAGAAGGGAGACAAGAAGGGAAACAAAAGGAAACAGAAGGGAGACAACACGGACACAATAACCAACAAGAAGGGAGACAAGAAGCGAGACGAAAGGAAACAGAAGGGAGACAAGACGGACACAATGACCAACGAGAACGGAGACAAGAAGGGAGACAAAGGGAAGCCGAATGGAAACAAGACGGACACAATGACCAACAAGAAGGGAGACAAAAGGCGGACACAATGATCAACCAGAAGGGAAACAGGAAGGGACACAAAGAAAACAGAAGGGAGACAAGACGGAGACAATGACCAACAAGAAGGAGACAAGACCGGAGACAAAGGGAGACAGAAGGGAGACAAGCGGACACAATGGCCAACAAGAATCCTTTACATTTGCCCGCGAGCTCTGGACTGCGGTGTCCACCTCTGCCTCGCAATCCTTTCCATGTGTCCCCCAGCTCTGGGCTGCTCTATCCGCCTCTGCCTTGCAATTCTTTACATTGGCTCTGGCCTCTCGCTTGCAACCACATCCTGCCAGCCACTCGCCGCCAGGACATGGGAAAGGTGCAGATGGAGTCCTATCTTCCTCAGGCCCTCTCGCTTGCAACCCTTTACATCTCTCTCAGCTGCTGTATCTGTCTCTGCCTTGCAATCCTTTGCAATCCTTTACGTTTGTCACCCAGCTCTGTGTTCGCAGACAAGAGAAAAAGGGAAACAGAAGGGAGACAAGGCGGACACAGTGACCAACAACAAGGGAGACAAGACCGTGGTGGTTGAGGTCCGGCGGGGAACACTGCCATCCGGAGCTGGCACTTGAAGTCCGGCGGGGAACGTTGCGAGGAGGCGGAGGAGCAGGACACGGAGGACGAGGAGGAGGACGGCAGCTGACATAAAATCTAACAGCCCTCACCTGATAGGTGGGGAACAAGAACTTGGGAAAGATCTCCTTATATAAAACTTGGATTAGACTTCCCTTCCTCTTCTGATCCAGATTCACCTCACCCCACGACCGGATTTCTCGTCGTGTCTATCGAACGTTTCAGCCGACCAAGGCACCGAGACCAAGCCGCCCGGCTTCAGTGGAAGACCCTGCCGCATGTTGCTACCCAGACGCTCTGTGAGTTCACCGGCCCGACCGGTCCCTCAAAATCTCTACTGCTAATATGATGTTGGGTACAGTCGTACCAGTTTTCAGAGTCATGTCCCATTTTCTCATGGAACGAACGAAGTCGGGTCCAGGTAGGGATTGGGCAGAACCCCCAAATGAGAAACTGATCCCTGTCACCTGTTCGGGTTTTGGGGAGTAGTGTCTGGGCAGGAAAACGAAGCCATCATACGACACCACTCAGAGGTGGAAACCGACCTGGTCGGTTGGACTGATGGGAGTCGGAGTTGCATAGGTATTTGTTTGAGGTGATTTCGTGAAGCAGTGTGTTTTTATGATCTTCTTCTTACCCAACGCTCCGTTCACAGCCTTTGATCCCTCAAAACCTAGGGATTGGTGATGGTCTGATGGACCAGGTGTGCAAACAACCGCTCTGCAAAAAACTCTTCTCTTGAAAGCGAAACCACAACGAAAGGTCGGCTCCAAACGAAATGGCGGCGCTCGAATGATCGCTCCCTTTTTCTTGGGCGCTTAAGTAAAAGCAGCTACGATCGGTTCACCATGTCAAGGTGTCAAGTGCAATGCTCACAACACTCCCCCTCCATGGTGACGCTAGGCTGCCATGGTCATCAACCTCTTCATTTTCATCAAAATTCGACCGCTTTTGGTCTTCCAGCTCAAGCTGCTTCGTTTTCATTGGCCAGAACAGGCCGAGCAGGGCGTGTATCGGAGAACCTCACCCCGAAGCGACCGACACACCCTGTTCGCACCCCAACTGGTTGTCCACAGGGTGACAGATGTCATCGTTCCCATCATATTGGTGCATTCTTCGCACCATCGACTTTCCTTGACCGTCCCCGTCCGAGGATTGGTCAAGTAAGGGCACATCATAGTTCGGTGATGTACTCTACCGAACTTGGTCGTCAAGATCTTTGGATCCTGGCTTCCACCTTGCTGCATTGGTGGAGGCCTCACTTGTGCTTTCGCGTGTGCGCTGCTTTCTCCTCTCTGTTGGAATCGTGACTGGGGGTCTGCTGATGCCGACGTGGCAGATGATGCAGCCCCAGTTGATCCCCCTTCTTCTTCTTTTCGCTCCTTCTCTTCTTCTTCTTTTCGTCTGCCTTCTGCTTCCTCTTTTTTCTTCTTCCTGATTTCGCTGAGGCTGTCCAAACGGCATCCCGTCGGAGATGACGGTGACCTTTCTGGTTGGAGCCATCGACCATTGGGAGAAGGAAATCCCCACATTGTGACTTGAGTCACTGGAAGCTGGGTTGGAGTGTGAGGAAGGTGAGCAGAACCTGAAGGCTGAGTTGGAGTGTGAGGTGGTGCAGATCCTGGTGATCTCATTGGGCTCGGCAGATGAGATGGCCGAGACACTTCATCTTCATCATCTTCACTTTCTTTCTTTCTTATGGCTCGCATTCTGGCTTCTCGTCGAGGTGGTGTCCTGGGAGGACTTCGCACTGCCGACTCTTGGTCACTTGGTGATTGGTCTCGGCTACGTGCTACTCCCTCCTTCAGGCACCAAACTAAGAGAAGCACCATCAGAGCCAAGGGAATGAGAATCATCATAACTTCCCATCCCAGGATCTCTTCTTCATCATCTTCATACTCCCCCTGCGCCTTTGCGCTTGCCAGTGTGGCGGCGATCGTGATCAACTTAATGATCACATTGGCCTTTTCTTCATTTTGGCCCTTCACTTTCTTTTCTTCCTTCTTCACTTTTTCTTCTTCATTCCATTCACTTTCACCTTTTCTTTCTTCATTCTTCACCTCGGTGTTTCCGAGAGGTAGCCCCATGTTGAGCTGCTTCTTGAGTGCTTCGACTCGAGGAGCTGCAAGTGCCTTCGTCCCCAAGTCTGCAATCATCTTTTCACCTGGCACGTGGTGCAAGGTCCACAGTCCATCGAGGATGACTTGCCTCGCATAGGAAGACCGCATGCGAAGGTGTCTCGTCCGCCAGCTGCCGCCCTCGGCAGTCAGGATCGTCATTCCTGATTGGCTATCTGTCCAAGCCATGCGAACGACGGGCTTGAACAACTCATCCAGAATCACCCCTATGGACTCTCCTGCAACCATACCTTCAATCACTTCGTTCAACTCGGCTTCAGCAGTTGACAAAGTAATCGTCGACTGCCTTCCAGATCGCCACAGGATTGGGCTGTTTCCCAGGAGGACCACCAGGCATCCATGGCTTTCCTCTGAAGTTGGAGAGTAGGAGGCGTCAGTGTACACATGAATCACTGGCTCTGTGTTGGCCTCCTCTTCAAAAATCAAGCCTTCTTCTTTCGTCCTCCAAAGGTAGCCTTTCATCTGTTTGGAGGCTTCGAGAACTGCTTGTGTTCCTTTGAGGACGGCTGACCCCATCCTTGAGACGCCGTACATGATGTCGGGGCGTGTTCTCGTCACCATCCATAGGAGTTCTCCTACGGTCTTTTGGGCAGCTTTGATGTCTGCCGCTGTTGGTGGGCTTGGATCATCCACCATGGCCGATTGATCTTTTGAGATCGGGATCTTCTTCTCTCGGAGCTGGTGCACTTCTGGCTCAAGGAGGTCTGTCGTGTAAGACTGTTGAGAAATGAGCCATCGATCTCTGCCAGTCTCCGGATTCACCTGCTTGATGATCTCCATGCCCAAAAACTTCACTGGCTTTTCGGCTATGTACTCAGGACTTGATGTCGTCCACTGAGCTTGCAACTGATCCTTGACTGCCCACATCACTTTTCGTTCGGCAGTGATCATGATGTCATCGACATACGTCATCAAGAGCCCTCGGAGCTTTGGTGCATCTTCATCATGATGGAGTTCGACAATCCTCCACAAGTTTGGCTCCGAATCCAAGGCCTCTAAGCACAAGGGCTTTTCTTCTCCTTCAACTTCGATCTCCATCTTTTGGAGTACTTCATCACGGTGCTCACCCCACAGGCGTGGCGAGCGGCGGAACCCATAGACCGCCTTGAGTGGGACATAGTATGTGTCCTTGGCCAGCAATCCACGCTCCACGAAAAAGGCAGGTGGGCATACCAAAAGCAGCTGTTGATCTTCTTTTTGAGACATTTGGCATTCAAAAAAGCTGTTTTGACGTCCACCACACAGCCCTCCCACTGGTAGACCACTGCAACCCAAACCATAATTCGAAGGGCAGCTGAGTCGGCTCCAGCAGAAAAGTTTTCTTCATTCGGATCTTTGCTTTCGAAGTTTCCGCAAACGACCCAGCGGACTTTCTTCTTTCCTCCCTTCTTTCCAGGTTTGCGGGTGAACACAAGCTTGGAAGGGATAAACTCAACTTTCACCCCTTTTGACTCGGCATCTTCCACCATTCTTTTGACCTCCCCCTTGGTGACCGGCTTCAAGGCCAGCTTGTCGGTGAGGAGAGACGTAATTTCATCTTGTGATGGAGCCTCCCACATCACCCAACCTGCTGCCACTTCTTTCGGGGACACGATTCGGGTTTGGAGAACTTCTTCTTCTTCTGGACTTTCCACCGCCACAGACCGCTTGATCTGAGCAACGACTTGGGATGTCAGGATGGCCAAGTCTGGCGGGTCTTCAAGTGCCATCAACGCTTCTTCTTCCAGTACCCTTTTTGCGCGGGTCCTGAACTTTTCTTCTCTTGTTTCTTCATCCTCAACTTCCTTCTGAAGTCTTTTGACGGCAGTTTTGCCTCGAATCCTCCTCCGAAGGCTCAGACCGTCCAAAATTTCCTTCTCCAGGGCGATCCAATGCCTCTCTGTCGGTGGGTCTTCCAACCTCCTCATATAGCATCTCGTGAGCCTGGGTCTTTCATCGTCCCTCACGATCCAGTGTCCGTGGTTCTCAGGGGACGGACAGAGGTACCTCACCCGTTCACTTGTTGGGGCCAGGTCATCCCGCTTCCATCTTCTCCTCCGAACCATGACCTCCGTCAAAAAAGGCGGGAAGTCAGGAGACTGGTGGAGCCTTTTTGCTCTGAGAACCTCGTTGCAGTGTCTTAGGGCCCATGGCCACCACTTCGAAGTTTCTTTGGCCTGATGTAAAGCCTTTCGAACCATCGTTTTCAATGCTTTCACTGCGGCCTCTGCACGTCCGTTGGACTGGGGTTCGTCCCCGGCGGTTTTGGTGAGGATGATTCCCCGCCGCCTTGTCCAGTCCTGAAAATGGCCTGCATATTCATGGCCTTGATCAGAGTGTATCTGAGCGACGGAGTATCCGTCCATCCTCAACTTCAACAACATGTCCATTGTCGTCCTTGTGACTTCCTTGGACTTCTTCGAATGCATGGGCAATGCCAACCTGAAGATCTCGATCTTGAAGTCTTTTGGCGGCCCAGCATCAACTTCTCTTCCTTCAGCCTCAATGGCCCCTTCATCTTCTTCACCTTCGGCCTCAATGGCCCTTTCATCTTCTTCACTTTCATCGTCATCGAAGACTCCTCGGCCCGCTTCTTCCTCAGCGTCCGACAATCCTCCTCGACGTTCACCAAGTGGCACCTTATCGTCCTTTGGCGGCACCTGGTCATCCTTTGGTGCTTGATCATCCTTTTGATCAGCTTCTTCTTCTTCATTGGCCTCAATCCAGGGCCACAACTCTTCATCTTCACCTTCCTGAACTTCCTCCCCTGGACGTCAGCATCAAAGCCCAGTGGAAGTGCCCATGTGAGCGTCCCAACCAAGAAGTAGCGGGACTGAAGACCTCCTAGGTCATACGCTGGCTTCAGTGGTCCGGCCGTGTCCAATGACAGGACCCCTGCCAACTTGTGTTCCACCTTTCTGTGTGGAGAGCATTGCTGTCGTGTTTCTTGGCATACACGGCAGTCTCTTCTACTTGGTGTGTGACCCAGCAGCAGGTGCTCTTCCCAGGAGAGTGCCCGGAGCTTGACTGGCCTTCGCAAAACCTGAGTCATCAAAGCCTCAGCAATCATCGACATCATCCCCGGAGGCCATCTGGCTAGGTCCCATGACCCACGGACATGGTGATGGATCTGGCCATTGATGGAAAATTCCTC